CCTTCCCACGAATTCCTGTGGCTTCCTTCATACTAGGTCACCCCTATTGCTGACACTCGTGTCTGGAATGTGACTCCTGGAAGGACTGAAGATGTCTGCATTAGGGTTTAGCTGCGGGGTCTGGGAGGGGCTTCCTGTTGTGTGGGCTGATTAGGTCGATGGTTAATATATCCTCCCTGTGTAAAGGACAATAAATCGCCCTTTAATGTATTTAATTCACTTTGAAATTTATTAATGTTTTCCATTTGTGTACTCTAGCTTTCTCTCAATTGTTGGACACTTTTTCTTGTTTCATTTCTCGTTCTTCCTGTTTATTTTCTTTCTCCTCCAACCACTGCTGTAGTCTCGCTTCTTGTTTATTTTCTTTCTCCCCAACCACTGCTGTAGCCTCTCTTCTTGTTTCTTTTCTCGTTCTTCTTGTTTCTTTTATTTTTCCTCCAACTCCTGTAATCTCTCTTCTTCTTTCTTTTCTCATTCTTCTTGTTTCTTTTCTTTCTCCTCCAACTACTGCTGTAGTCTCTCTTGTTTATTTTGCTGTTCGAACTGCCACTGCTGCTGTCTCTGCTCTAGTTTCTTTTGCTGTTCTTGTATTGCTGCCATCAAATCTGCTAAGCTTTAGTTTGATTTGTCACTTCTCATTTCCATCTTTTTTTTCTTACTTTTCTATCCCACTTCTGACACCAATTTGTTACGTATTTGCTTGTTTGTTAATTTCCCGTATAAATTCTTTCCGAGAAATTTCAGCCATACAATTTCTTTCTTAATTAAAACTAGTCACTTTACACTTAACTACTTTTATAAACACACGCTATAATTCACAGCGATTCACACACTTTATATTACCGTCACTACCGCTCGCTTGACGCAATTATCTGTCTCTATATCTATCTATCTGCAAATTACTTGCCGGGCTTATATACTAAAATAGAGGGCGCCTGTAAAAGACCAGAGTTGCCAGGAAAAGTCACGATCCTTCGAGAATCTCATGACGTGTTACCAGCGTCACATGACTTCCGCTGTCGTAACAATAGCCTTAAAATGTTTTCATGTTTAAAATTATGTAATCGAATAATGTGTGTTTAAGCACTTTTATAAAAAAACAAAACTAAACACTTAGTTTACAATGAAAAAACCTTACTCTTCTTTTTTTCTGCATTATTTTAAATGCACAGTTTTCTTTCTTTTGCCCAGCGGTAAACCTGAGGGGTTATAATGTTAAAATCGGATTTCGATACTGGCGGTGGGCCCAGCACATATAGTCCTTTGCAGTTTCTTGCTGAACAACAACTTTCTTCAGTTTGGCTCAGCAATAAGTCTGCAGGCTTATGACGCTAAACCTCGGGTTTCAATAACTGTGTTGCGCAGATCACAGATAGACCATTCTATAGTATTGTTACGACAGTGGGGTCACGTGACGAGTATTCTAGAAGCTTCGCTAGTGTGTTACGACAGCGGGGGTCATCTGACGAGTTTTCTAGAAGATTCGCTAGTGTGTTACGACATCGGAAGTCAAGTGATTCTGGTAGCACGTGTTGAGAGTCTTAGAAGTTTCTAGAACATGCAGTATTATCGTATATAAGTGCGCTAGACAGTGAGAGAGACAGACGGAGGCAGAGACGTAGCAGAGACGAAGCAGGCAGAGAGAAAGAAAGACAGCGATTACGGTCGGCGGGAACTGAGGATAGCAGACACAGAGATCGGAACTATAGTTTGCGGGGACGGACAATTAAGTCTAAGCGCGATAGAAAGGGAGTGAATTGTTGTGAACTATAGTATGTGTGACTGTGAAAATTAAGTACATTACAAAGTTGTATTGAGGAAGAATAAACAAGTTTTATAAAGAAAGGACTCGTACCTTAGAAGAATTAACAAACAAGCATACAGAGACGTAACAGTATTGTGCTTACCAAACCAAACTCTTCAATTTGGCCAGTCCCCTGGTGGGTTAGCGGTAAACTTATAGACTTACAAAGTCAACATCCGTGGTTCGATTATTTGCGATGGACAGAGTGCAGATAGCCCATCGTGTAGTTTTGCTCTATGAAAACAACAGTTTAGGCGAAACTGGAATGCGAAATCTCATTATACTTTCTTGGGATTAGAATGTTAGATGTTATCAGAAAAAAATTACAATAATTATGCACTGCTCTTGTTTTCGAATATATATCATTACGTGTCGGTTTTGAATATATTATATTTTAAATGTACATAGCAAAAATCAAGTAGGCAAAGAAAAGGGTGATTATTTCTGGGATAAATATGGCACCTTAATTGTATTTTTCTTCTACGTCTAGAATTGGTCAGTCTGTATTAGCTAGACTTCGAGCTCTTCGAGCGGCAGAGACTGTCTGGGTGTAAGTATTGATACGATTACATTGTACAAGAAATATATATTTTACACGTATTGGACGAAAAACACAGTTTACATAACATGTAAAGTATATTCTTCATGAACAGTTGGGAACAATCAATAAATATTATTTTCGCTATTTAATATAAGTTGATATTTATAAAAAAGTTAAGTTAAAGAGTAGTTTTCAATACCCAAGCTATGATACGGAATAATGATATATATTACTATTATTACATTGTAAGTGGAACAATGGTAATTAATAATAAAAGTATGTTACTACTACGATACAACAGTGTACAACTAAATAATTGTTCACATTATGATACAAATATATATTGTGTGAGTATGATAATAACTGGTTTGGAGCTGAAATTAAAAATTATGACTTAAGGTTAAAGTTAAAAATTGTAGATTAAACTTAAAAGTTAAAGGCATGAGCTATTAGTATTATTTTACTAGCATGAGTGTTTAACGTGTTCGGAGTTGGATTAATATATTTCAGTGTACTAAAGAAAAACAATGTGAATGATATGAATATTTTGGAGTGATAATAGTATGCCCATATTCCCAAGTAAACTCCTCAAATGTATGATTTTTGTTATAAGTTTTAAATTCATTTCCTTTTTATGTAGAAATGATTTTAAAAAAATGGAAGAAAACCCATCAGGCGTTATTTTGACTCTTCAAAAAGATGAGATTGATTCCAATGAAATGGAGGTGATCAAGCTTAAGAAAGAATTGGCAAGAGTTGAAGCTGTCTGTGAGAGGTATGAGAGATACAATGAAGATCTTCAACAACAAGTAGAAAAAATGAGTTGTCAACTACAAGAATGGAGACAAAAAATCTTAGGTGAAAGAAACTGTGCTGAAAATCAAACAGAAATGAAAACACCATCTTTAAAGAAACTGTGTCTTAATGGAGATAGCTCTCCTTGTCTTTGTCCCTGTCATCTAAAAGAAATATCTTTATTAGATGTTAGCACACAAACTTTTGAGAGTGACTTTATGGGTATAGGTAAGTGAAGTTTTTCCCTTGTGTTAAAAAAGAAAACATTTGTTTTCAGAGTAGCTTCCACTTCAAAAACTTGTAAACACTGTAAAATTCTTAATTTTCTGACCCTGTCTTAAGTTAAGGTATAGATTTCTGTAGAATTGGTTATAGATCAACTTTTCATTCTTTGATAGTAAGAATTCGTGAAGGAAAATGTAACAAAAATGAAGCTTAAAATTAGTTGTACAGTGATATATTAAAGTATTATTGAATTTTTGCTAATATTGACATGTATTAAGTTTCATTGTATATTGACTCCACATCTCTGGTTAAAGGTGGTGTTAATAAACAGATTTAGTAAATTTATTTTTTACATCTCCTAAACTTTAAACAATATGGGAGAGTCTCAAATTAGGAACATAGTAATTATTATAATGACAAAACTAGAACTTAAGCTAGGCTACTTGGCTTAAAGAGATCATTTCTCTTATCTATAAAACATCTAACAAAAACTAAATGTAGTCCTTCAGATCTTTACATCTAACAAACAAAGGTTTGTATGAGCTTGGAGTAATGTTATACATACAGACAAAGCATTCTTCTATAGGTAACAGGTGAGTAATTTTGCTTTAATACAAGTGTAGGTCTGGGCTTAAAACCTTATACTTATTACTCCTAATATTCTGATTTGAATATCTAAAATTCCTATTTCATGACTCAAAAACACCATTATAGGTAATTTATTTGAGCATCTAGCAATTTTTATTACCTGAATCAAGTTACTTTTAATTCTTCTTTACTGAGAACAAAACAAGAACTGAAACCCCCCTTTAGTGATGTAGGAGATACTCTTGATAACTTGGCTGTGGATAAAGTTATAATAATTTACTTTAGTACATTCTATACTGTAAAATCTGTTAATTTGGAAGTCAAAAGAGACATTTACATATTACTTCAACAAATACAGAGTGAATAATACCTTGATTAAGTACCATGTCATTTTAATTGTATTTTACGTTACATTTTTGATTGTAATATCATTTAGTTTCTGAGTTGTTATGATGGTCAGTGTATGGCCTAGTAAGTAACTGTTTTCATTGTTTTGTAAAATATTTTCTGCAACCCATTTAAGACAAAACCATAAATAAAACGTAGTATATATTGATTTTAGTCACAGTTTTGATGCTGGTAAGTATGGCTGAACTTCTGTTAATGAACATAAGATTTAACTTTGAAAGCCATGTATGTTAACATTAGTATAGATCAATTTAATGACTCTGCTCATACAGCTTACAGTTCTTATATTTTTAACTGAATAAAACCAGAACAAGTCATTTCATGTTTAAAACATACCCTAACACTTTGCCAAAATGCGTCACCAAAATTTTGCTCTTTCACTCTCTCTCTTTATATTATATATAAATGCCAGTCATACTGGCTCCGAAAAAAAAATTTTGAAATGTCTAAGGTTTAAAATGTGGTTTCAAATTTTAACGCATAATTTTCAAAACTGAATACCATTACTGTGGACTTGCAAACTCTCAATATATATTTGTTTTTTTGTAATGTGGCTAAAATTTTTTTCCAGCTTCTAGGCTATGTCTGAAATATAAACAAAATCCACATTACATGTATTTTACTTAATTTGTGCAAATTTACATTGCTTTTAAAAAGTTTATGAAGCATATTATTCTGCTGTTCATTTTTATGACTGTAGAATTATGACAGGCATTTCAGTTGATATTATATAACTTTCAGAAAGCCTTTGTAACCTTTTTTAAAACACTGGTGAGATATCATTATAATACTGTGTACAGTTTTGGTCCTGCAGAAAAGCCATGCTTTTGAATGGTGCCTGATTTAATAAATTTTTGCAATGAAGAAAGGCATGAAGATTTGTACTTTGTTTTTCAGGATGTATAAAAACTAGAAGTGACTTGATTGAGTCATTTAACATAACATAATGTTTTGGGACAACATGGAACCTATTAGTCCATCTTGGCTGTTCCATCCTCTAAATTAAATTAAAATGATTAAAAATAAATAAATAATAGTAAAAAATAAAAAAAATCTTAAAGCCAGCCCTTATCATTCATATACTTATCAAGATATTTCTTAAACTCACTTAAATTTATTGCCTCTACAACATCTGAAGACAACCCATTCCAAAGACCAACCATCCTGTTAGAAAAATTAAACTATCTTAGCTGAAGATGACTCCTACCTTGCCTAAATTTATATTTGTGTCCCCTAGTCCTACTATTCTCCCTGTTAAATATGAAAAAAAGATTATGCATCAACACTATCAAT